AGCCAGGGGAGACAATCACCATCGGACTGTAACCTGCGGGAAGCGCGACTTTGCATGTTGTTGCTGATAATGGAGAACAGTAGCAATTGTAAAGTTTTGTTTGGTTTTGCTGTATCACCAAGTATACGCGTTTGTGTTGTGTGTGCGTGTGTGTGTGCGCGCGCGCGTGTGTTTTTTCGAGCGTTTGCGCGTGCTTTTGTGTGTGTGGTTGTTGTCAAGTCCCTAGACATTTTTTACAATAGACAAACGTCTTATTTAAACTCCCCAGGAGGTTGTCTAATAAACACTCAAGAAATCCAGGTTGGGAAAATGTTTTATGAGTATAACCTACCATGCCAAAAAACCCAACAAATTAACGTTTTTGAGCTGACTGCCTGTACCATTATTATTAGCTGTGATGACATCAGTTAAAATTTGAGTCAACAGTAATCACAAAACATACGTTTCTTGAATTATAGGCTTATTCTAAAGATATTTGTCCGCACTTTACCACGTTTTCCAGACTGTTACCGAAACTTCATAATGAATATATTAACTAATCACGTTTAGAGCTTTACTTTTTGATTCATGCAGAAATAATACATACGCAAAATATGTCTAAACCGAGAGCTAATGTTGTCATAATTGGCAAACATCGTTGGTATACAAAATGAATGCTGCTTGGAGGCGAGGCATCAATGCCAACGACGAAAATCTGTTATTGCTTAACTGAATGCACAGAATAACGCAGTATTAACATGACAGTATGTATTCGCATTTAGAAAACAGTAACATTGAGAGTTTGGAGCTGCCATCATGTCTCATAATGTCTTCGTAAAATCATGTTCCTTCACACATTTGTCAATGTTACTACAATGTATGAATAACATTGAATAAGTAACTACTGTCATGTGCATAGTTTTAGTCATTTACACAACAATTTTAAAGTTTTTACTGATAGAATGACCATCTTCTCACATTTTCTTTGATATTTTTTTCAACACACACTTAAAGACATTTCCTTGGCGACAGAATTCCCCATGCTTGATATTCCTTGGGTCTTGTATACACAAAAATGACACACTGCGGTTTCACTGTATCCTACAATTGAGTTATTACCGCAGATCTCCGGGGAAATTAGTTGTGGCGTTAATTATAACTGCAATGATTAATCGACACTTATATTATCGTTTGTTAAACATATGCAATATATATTTTTCTTTCATTACTTACTTTGTATTGACACCAAAGTTTACTGTGTGAGGTATGTATTAATAACGTGATTCTCTTTACAGAATATTATATTGGCATGTGCGTAAGTGCAATAAATAAAAAGTAAGTAAATTAGGATTCGTAAATCAATGTACATGAGACTTATATTTTACTATCAGATAAGAACCGATTAATATTACATTAATTATATTTCTGGAAAGCTGTAGTTCTAGGTTATATCCAATTGATTAATGCATACAAACCCAGTATAGCTTTGTATAGCATCTTGAATCCTTTGTATATTCCCGGAGGAATCAGTTCGTAGTCGAACACTCAAGGCGTTCCCCCCGCTGATAAAAACAGGTCTTTCGCTACCACAGAATTTGCCGAGCTGGTAGGAACCTATAATAGAGCATTATATGTTCACTAATGTCAGAATTTCTCCGAATACCATCATTCAAAACTGACAGAGAGAAATAACCATACCTTGTGCAGACGTTTACGTCAGCATGTTTTTTCACGAGCAGGCTTCTATTTGACTGTCAGAGGCTAAAGAAATTGTGACAGGTAATGTTTTCTTTGGTAAAATAATTTCTTTTGAATGAATATTTTGATTTGAACCAACAAGTGGGACGAGTGTGTTAAAGTGGTCGAAGAAACGCAAAGTAGCTGTTGTTGCTCAAATTCCATGAAATTGCAAGAACCCTGATATAGACGAGAAAAACGACCAACATTATTAATTTTGAAAGGCAAGACAACCAGGCCCAGTTGTCAGAAGTGCAGAAATCAGAAAACAAAATCTCTATTAATCGTTCTTGAACAAATTCGATATGCCACGCGAGAAAATGACGGATGGAGAGGTATTCGAACAACAAATTCAAACCACCCAGGTTTAGTCAAGCAACCCTAACAGCCCGTATCTGGCAATAGGCGTGAATTCGCGTCTACGGAATCCGCATAAGCTAACGCCAGAGCATCGTCATCTAAGCTGGATCAGACAATGGTTGGGGGAAGGGAGTGAGTGTAGGAAGGATCTTTACACCGATGAGTTATATTCAGTTCTTCACCGAACTTACGACAGGATCTGTGACCGTTACATTGGTGTTCTAGAAAGGAATTCCTTTAGAGGTCGGGACGTTATGATCTGGGGTGGAATAACAGAAAGCAGCAAGCACTCCGGTGATGGAGGAGAACTTGAATGCTGTGAAGTACATTGTGTACCGATACGAGATTTTGCAAATGACGTCTTCACCGGTTTTACAACAGAACGGAACGACCTGGCATGATGTTTCAACACGATAACGACAGATCACACGTTTCTCGATCTTAATAAGAACAATCTTTATGTGTTACCTTAATCCGCAAGATCTCCTTTGTCACCCATTGAACACGTCTGGGGTTAAATAGGGCGTCTATGACGTCATACGATTCACCAAACACGCTGCAGAAATGCTGCACATTCCTCTGTTGAGATGCGATAATCTTCCCCGTCATCGACGCATTGTGGCCTCAGTGAAATGACGGTACCATGCCAGCATTAATGTACATGGTCTACACACTTGGTACTGACTGTGAGATTCCCTTTTGTGTTGAGGCTCATTTTAAAAAGCCAAATGCGCTTTTTATATGGTCTGTTGAGTATGAATATACCTTGAAACATCCATCTTTTGCAGTGGTTTAAAGTTTAACACGGATGCTGTTGTTTGCATGCTACAATACTTTTTGTCTTATAGAACACAATCATTGCACGGAAAACTAACTAAAATATCCCCTCGTTTGACTATGTAGAATGTCGATATAGTATCTCTGAAGTCATCATCATCTGACCGTCTTTGATATAATGAACAAGCATGTACACGTCTCTACTTACCGTACTGGCCGTTGTACACAGTGACATAATCCCTGTTACAAGTTCCACTAGAGGAGATGTTCTGAAGTACCGAGTCCATGGTGTCCAGTTGAATGGTTTGGTTTTGATGTTCTGTTGTAATAGTCCAGGTACAAGTGAGACGCCTGCAACAGACCCCTGCTGCTGAGTGCAATACAAGTAAGGTTGCGAAATGGTTCGAAAGATTCACACATATAAACGCATGACTAGGTACAGATGTGTATGCATGGCTAGGCATGAAGGAAAGCTTAATCATCAATCCAACACACTGATTCACTTAATGTACCGGTATGCACAATTAAACACTGGGCAACAAATACAGGAAATTTTAGTGCTTCTGTTAGCCGATAAAGTACCAAAGTTACTCACAGAAAGTAGGTGTTTGGGTATCCAGGGGAGGTAAATGTCTTTCCAGCAGAAGTTGCTACGAGAGGTACACCACACAATTCTTCACCTGGTTGTAACAAAGGGCTCAATTCACCACCCGTAAGATTCATGAGGATCAGCAGGGGCAACTTTGAATCTTTTACTGATTTTGAAAGATTCAACGATGTCATGTAAGAATCCTGCATGTTGAATTTTGTCATTGCCAGCGCTATTGAATCTACCTTATTACACGAAAGAAACATATAGCCAAAACTCCATCATTGTAAGAACTGCTTTGTTTTGAATAATGTTTGAGAGATCAGCGCTAGATGATTGTTTTGTATTTTGGAAGTGGTTCCAATATGTCTTGATTCAAACCAGTCTCTGATTTTGACCATTCAACCAACCCAATTTCATCTGCTCTAACCTATTGGTCCATGCCAATCTAAGCATTTTGTAAAGGGAGAAATGGAACTAAATTTCTAATTTAGAGGTTTTACTGTACATGCAGTAAAGATTATAGACGGACATTGCAGAGTCAGGGTCATGACTTCACTCACCAGTTTTTTCATAGTATCTAATTAGAAAACCACTTCTGGTTCCACCGCTGTCAGTCTTGAACACTACATGGAAATGATGTTGGTCTTTCTTGATGAGAATATTCCATCTGCTTGTTCCACAGATTCTACGCCTATAGCCGCTTCTTTGATTATCTGGTTGGCCAAAATGTCAGGAATAAATTTGTTGTTTCGTGAAGTTTGCATAGTTTATTGAGAGTGATTTTTACATGCATAAAAATATAAAATATGTTTCCGTATGTCAGGAACATATTTCAGCTCTCACAAACTTTCAATTATTTTCGATCCTTGATGCGCCACAGGGATCATAGTACAAAACCGTTAAATGTTTTAGATTTTTCTGGATAGCTTATAAATACATAATATCTTCATAATAATAGTACGAGAAGCATGATAATATCATTATATTTCATAAATGATTATTATGTAACAGATAGATGAGGTTTTAAATGTAATACAACTATTTTACCATTATTCATGATGTATATGGTGAGAACGTCATATGCACAGGTGGAGGAGCTTTCGATATTGGAATACACCATTTCGAGTACAACCCTGTAGCCTCGTGTTTCAGGGTAGATATTCCAATAACAGTTGTCATTACTGTAAAATGATGGTTTTTGGAACTAAAGTAACAGATCATGTATAAACCCAAACATATATTTTCGACATTTATGTTAAATATCTACAAATAATGGCTACATTTAATTCTGCAGTGCTTACATATCAAGTATAAAAATCTTACAAAATAAGCGTCCATCAATGACGAGCAGATCATTCATAAAATGAACAGAAATGTTTCTAAATATTGCTGTATGGGTAATTCAGCCGGATTACATTATTCTGCAGTGCTTACTTATCAAGGATAGAAATGTTACAATAGGCATTCATCATCAGATATGAATGTTTTGATATACTTGAGCACACATTCTGGCGAGCAGATCATTCATAAAATGAACAGGAATGTCTCTACATACTTTCTGTAGTGGCCTGGGTAGTTAGGTGATGTGAAATTCAACGGTTCCCTCTGAGCATGGAGCGTCACGTTGCACGCACCTGTAAAAACACGTTCATTGTATTACATGCTTGTAAATGGCGTCTCTTTATAACCTTGGAACAAGGAACAACATGACTAAGGAACCATGACGTTTTGGGGACTAATTATTCTTTACTTGATGGACCATCTGTTCCTAACATAATGAAACTGCTGACATTATATTGAATGATTTGCAGATTAATCACGACATCATCATATGCCCGTAAAAACTAAAGTCATCATGAACCTGACTATTAAGTTCATACATGGAAAATGGTATATTTCATACACTGTAGACAAAACTACCCGTTGTAATGGGTCATCATATCATATTCACATATTTGTTTTATGCAAAGAACAGAAAACACAAATGTTCACAGCTGCACAGAGATTCAGAGTGACAAAAACCTCTTCACCAGGCTGTGTGACAAAAGGGATGATTTCAACTTCCAATAGTCAACTTCCCGTTCATGTCGAACATTAATGTTCAGGTACAATCGAGCGTGCTTTTTTCATCAGGATGTCAAAGATCGTCACACTACTCTTGCTCAGAAGGTTTTTGATCAAGGTTACAACATTCAAGCTTTCATGAAATTTTATTGTAGACATGTGAAGGAAAATTCCTAATTTGATGCATCAGTGACAAAAAGTGATGTCCGATTCTGGATTCTCGATTTATTCCGTACATTCCCGAATTATTTCAGATGAACAACCTACTAGATATATCATATATTTATGACGGTGGGCACCGCTGGCGCAGGATACGCTAACTTTTTCGCGAACGCCTGGTATCATCACTGGTGATTCGTAATCACTGGATTGTATGGTTCAGACTCGATTTGTTTACAAACGACATTATACAGCTGTAATGCTGCTGAAACAAATACATGCTTATGATATAGTTAAAATTTGTACAATCGACTCTGAGTTTAACAGACATTTCTCATGAATGTGGAAAAGGTTTTTGTCGCTTCTGTTTGAAACGTCATCCATGTAAAATGACACGTTTGTGAAATCTTTCTTCAAAACGGTAAGAGGCTGGGATAGTGTCAACAAATGATCAAAGATTCTATTGCCATAAGTCGGCTTTCATACTGCTTTGTAGGAATATAATGCGTTGCCTCCAAGTCAAAGGACTTATATAACTTATGATTTAGCCGCCGATAATAAAGGGTGCGGATTGCCGTTCGCTTCGTCAAACAAACGACCCTGCGTTGTTGTTTACCTTACAATGACATAAACCGCCAAGCTTGCACCACAACACACAAGAGCTTAATTACATCCTGAACCGGAGCTCATTCTTCAGGCCGCCTTGATCAAGTCAGATACGCTTTTGGCAAGAGTTTAAAATAGATAAACCGGTTTGCGTATAAATAAATACAATTGAAAAACTGTAATATGTTTTGATGTTCTGTGTGCAGAAATATACACTACGAACACCACTACACTGAAACCAGGATTCTTTTATTGTTGATCCTGTGTAGTAAGTTATCAGTCAGCACAGACTGTAGGTAGGTTCTCTCACAGTCATTTATAAGAGCATCTTTCACAGAAACCCTTTCAATGTATTTGAAGGTTATTGGTGTTGACATAGGCCTCACTGGCTTTAATACGACTTTAGAGGACCATCTGAGCCAACCCAAAGCAGCCTCATACATGAATGAATACTCCATCTTCACAGTGAGACATAAGAGGAAGCAACGTATCCCGCAAATGCTTGATGCCAGGCTACTCTGCAGATACGTTCATCTATGAATTGACAAAGTAAGTGACAAGCAGGCCAGCCCTTTGGACAAATTTCAATTGTCTTGACTTACTTTTCAAAGCAATCGTGTATTCAAAAATCATTCCGTTATATTACAAAATCGTCACATCAGTAAGAACTTAATGTCTTAAAGAATCGTGATAACCCTGCACTATGAAAGTCTATCAACTCACTTAGCGGGACATATTTCTCTTCGTGTAGCAAAACCAGTAGCACAATTAGTTTGAGCTGTTGTTAAACTCGGGAAAAACAACTGCACTTTTTCAGATGAAACTGACGTTGGTTTGTCTTAGCATAATTTGTATTATAACATTTGCATTGGAGAACTACCTGTTGAACTTAATCCAGGTATAACCACTCTATAGATACAATATGTTGTCTTTATAATAGAGCTGCAGTTTTCAATGGTATGCCATTTGAATTCTTTGACATTCTACAACAAAAATATTCCTGACATTAATGAATCTGTTGAAACACTCAATGCGTTTCACAAGTAAGTACACTCTTCACAAGAAACGCATTTTATCTCTTTCAAGCAACTATAGGGATCTATCCGTTGAGATCCGGGTTAGAACTGGTCTTGGAACATGTCATCGTATTCCATTGTGTAGATTGACAATCATGATGTCGATAATAATAATGATAACGGGAAGGGATTTTGGGGAACAATGATCATCTTGTACAGAAAATGATTTTGGAAGAGGCTAAAACATATCACAGCAACCTCTCCATGTGCTGGATTGACTACAAAAAATCATATGATTCTGTCTCTTCATGAACGAATTCTTAAGTCTCTTCATTGTATTGACCTCCCTGGGCGACTCTTTGATTTACTCAAGTCAAGTTTTACTCGCAAGGGCAGGTGCAGACTTCAAAATCTATTCTAATCAGAAGGGGAATATTCTATTGGGACTCCTTTAGTCCTTTTTATTTGGTTGTCTTTAAATCCTTTGAGCTTTCTGCCCAATAACGAGGAGGGTTACCATCCCGGACCTCCTCAGCACAGATCCCCAACACCGCTTACTTATCTCCTTTACATGGATGACATCGAGCTCCTTGCCAAAGGAGATACCAATTTTGACAGAACAGGTTCTCCTAGTGGATTCCTTTTCTAACGATACTGGCATGACATTTGGACTCGACAAATGTAATACTCATCATTTGAAGCGTGGCAAGGTAACTAACGATGGATCAGTCAAGTTACAACGGGGAGGAATTATTGAATATTTTGTGGACGATCAGGCCTACACCTATCTTGGAATGCAAATTCGAGAGAAGCTCCAGAATGCCCAGATTCAAGACAAGCTTTGGGCTGAGTATAAATCTCGCTTAAAGAAAATCTTGAGCTCGAGCTAAATGGTCGAAACAAGGTCAAAGCCCCCAATTCTTTTGCTGTGCCAGTCCTGTGATATTCCTTTGGCGTAGTTAATTGGACGAAAGAAGACACCCAGAATCTTGACCGCCAGACCAGAAGGATCATGTCTGATAACAGAGCCCACCATTCTCGTTCCTCTCTTAATCGTTTATATCAGTTATATCAGTTCTGGAGGTCGAGGTTTGATTAATGTGGAGGCTCTCCATGATATAAGTTTATTGTGTATTTTTACACATATTTATTTATCGGATGATCCTCTGGCGATGCATGTAAAGACTAATGATGACTGCCAGGAATTCCACAGCTATTTTAAGCATGACAAGGTTGTCGGACAGAATCTGAATCTGAATCTGATTTTGTTGATGGCGATGTACTCCTGGACGGTACAGCGATGGAAGGAAACCAGGTGAAGTCCTTCACCAAGTCTGCCCAGGGTCGGTCATTTGTGGAGGAGCTTGTTGTTGTCCAGGACCATTCATTTCCCACTCGCAATCACCTAAATGTGATTCTTAAAGAAAATATCAATATGAAATGTCGGCTTTACGATGAATTCACAGAGACTGTCCAACACCTTGTCAGTGGATGCCCTTCCTTGGCACAAACAGCATATCTTAAAAGACATGATGGCATGGTTCGTAGCTTTTACTACCGTCTTTATCATGCCTGTGGCTTTGACTCCGAGGTCCATAAATGGTACGACCCTGAACATGTCCAGAACGTCATGGATAATGATGCTTTCAAACTTCCGTGGAATAGGCCCATATACAGCCTCACAAGAATACCAGCCAACAAACCTGATCTTGTCCTTTTTGATAAAGCCAATGAATGCATTCATGTCATTGAATTTTCTGTCCCTTTTGACAATAATGTGATTGGAAAGATTCAGGAAAAGCATGCTAAATATGCTAAATTGGACGAAAGAAGACACCCAGAATCTTGACCGCCAGACCAGAAGGATTATGTCTGATAACAGAGCCCACCATTCTCGTTCCTCTCTTAATCGTTTATATCAGTTATATCAGTTCTGGAGGTCGAGGTTTGATTAATGTGGAGGCTCTCCATGATATAAGTTTATTGTGTATTTTTACACATATTTATTTATCGGATGATCCTCTGGCGATGCATGTAAAGACTCATGATGACTGCCAGGAATTCCACAGCTATTTTAAGCATGACAAGGTTGTCGGACAGAATCTGAATCTGAATCTGATTTTGTTGACGGCGATGTACTGCTGGACGGTACAGCGATGGGAGGAAATCAGGTGAAGTCCTTCACCAAGTCTGCCCAGGGTCGGTCATTTGTGGAGGAGCTTGTTGTTGTCCAGGACCATTCATTTCCCACTCGCAATCACCTAAATGTGATTCTTAAAGAAAATATCAATATGAAATGTCGGCTTTACGATGAATTCACAGAGACTGTCCAACACCTTGTCAGTGGATGCCCTTCCTTGGCACAAACAGCATATCTTAAAAGACATGATGGCATGGTTCGTTGCTTTTACTACCGTCTTCATCATGCCTGTGGCTTTGACTCCGAGGTCCATAAATGGTACGACCCTGAACATGTCCAGAACGTCATGGATAATGATGCTTTCAAACTTCCGTGGAGTAGGCCCATATACAGCCTCACAAGAATACCAGCCAACAAACCTGATCTTGTCCTTTTTTGATAAAGCCAATGAATGCATTCATGTCATTGAATTTTCTGTCCCTTTTGACAGCAATGTGATTGGAAAGATTCAGGAAAAACATGCTAAATATGCAGACCTCGCCTTTTAAATGTTTCGCTTGCATCCCAAATACACTGTCGTCAGGCTCCCCAAGTGCCCTTGGTTCGGTACCTCCTGATCTGTTGGCGCAGATCAGGAGAGTGTCCGGGT